TTACAGATTAATTTCTCTTTATATTATTTATTAAACATTATCTTATTTCAAACTACTAAAATGTCAATAAAAGTCACTTTGTTAAACTGTAGAGTTGAATTTTCAACATCCAAAGTAAACAGAGAGGAGATTAAGCTCCCATAATGCAATACACAACCATAAATAAATGAAAAATACAAAATACGAAAACTGTTAATTAACAGGTATAGTGTATTTAATACTCACATTTTATGAAACATCTTCCTTTGTGTTCAACAGAAATAAACTTGTAACTTCCGAACACTGAATATTAAACCTTTTATATGAGAACTCTTGATGACTGACACTGAACAAGCAACCAAAAGAAGAAATTGAGAGAAACAATTCAGGGATAGAAGCAATACAGACATAGAGAAGGCAGAGAGAGAAATGATACAAGAAGAGTGAGGGATGTGTGAGACGGTAAACATAGAGCGACTGAGACAGACAGATGGAGAAGGCCCAGACGCTACATTCTCACACAGCACCAAGCGAAAGCTGCAGGGGTCAGACAACCGTCTGACATCTTAAAAACTAACTAAACAACGTCTGTACAACTGACGCATACTGAATCTGTACTGTACCTCACCAATGTCTACTTTAATGTCTGCCTTTACTCTACTGAAAAGTTACATAGTGAACATTCAGGCATCTGTTGCTGGACTTCTGCTTATTAGAATATAAAATTAAGAGTAATAAAAGCAAAGATTAATAATCAGGCAAATGATCCTTCACAATGTGACTAAATAAAATTTAGAATTTAAATTTAGACTACATTTAAATTTAGAGAGCTGATAAAAACTCACGCTTTTCAAATTAGAAGATGAGGTCTTGCTTGTCACCTTTTTTTGGCCAATATGACTCTTAAGTAGGGCCAGACAGAATCTGCAGACCTTTTTTGCTATTTCTGCTGAGAATTTTGTAAAAAATCTACAGATTTATGTGGAATTCACTCATCATATCACACGTGCTGCTGATGATGTGACAATAAAAGTGATTTGATTTGATTTGAATGATTTTAGGAGTATCATAACTAATAACCTAATATAAAGAATATATTTAAAACTTTTATTTAATGATTACAATACAAATCCAATTAGATCCACTTGTTTAGAAAACAAACCAAGTCTTTCAAATAATATATCTACAGAAAGACTTTACAATGTGTATTGTAAATAAATAATATGCACATTTTAATATCATTAGTAATATATCTAAAAAATATTAGTGAAATGAATTTAGATACTGAATAAATATAAATTTACATACATTAACACAAGGATTTACATAAAATCAAATGGGCTAAAAATCTGTGGATTTCTGCGCGTGCAGATTCTGTGTGGGCCTAGCTATAAGCACTAACAATATTTAGTATATACAGTTGACGTCTGAATTATAGCCCCCCTGAATTATTAGCCCTCCTGTTTATTTTTCCCCCCAATTTCTGCTTAACTGAGAGATTTTTTTCAACACATTTTAAACATAATAGTTTTAATTACTCATTTCTAATCACAGATTTATTTTATCTTGGTCATGATGACAGTAAATAATATTTCACTAGATATTTTTTCAAGACACTTTTATACAGCTTTAAGTGACATTTAAAGGCTTAACTAGGTTAATTACTGTAGGTTAACTGGGCAGGTTAGGGTAATTATGCAAGTTATTGTATAATGATGGTTTGTTCTGTAGGTTATCGAAATATATATATAATAATAATATTGACCTTAAAATGTTTTTTTTTTCTTTTTAAATTAAAAACTGCTTTTATTATATCTGAAATAAAACAAATAAGACTTTCTCCAGAAGAAAAAATATTATCAGACATACTGTGAAAATTTCCTTGCTCTGTTAATCGTCATTTTAGAAATATAAAAAAATGGAGAAAAAAAAAATCAATGGAGGGCTAATAATTCTGACTTCAACTGCATATTTTAAAACGTTGTAAAATAATAAATTATCTTTTGCTAAGCAAAAACTCATCTATCTTTTCAGAATTACAGTAAAAACATAAGTAAAGTGAATAATTTCAATCGTAAACTGCTCTCTATTTTAATACAGACTTAAATAGTAGGCCTAATTTATTCATGTGATAATGAAGCTGAATTTTCATTTCTCCAGTCTTCAATGTCACAAATCAACCTATTATGCTGATTTTGTTCTCAAGAAACAGCCTGTCATATCATTAATGATGAAATGTTGTCACTTCATATTTTTGTGATTTTTAATTAAGGAATCTTTGATAAACATAAAACTAAAGAGTACATTTGCAACATTATTGTGTAACGATAATGTAATAAACTGCCTCCATCACTATTGATCAACTTCAAAAGTATTTTTATATGCTTGTGTACATTTCATTTGCTGTATTAATGCACAAATAATATGTACACAAATGTTTTCCTTATAAAAATGCTTTGAAATACTTATTTATATAAACTTAAGTGGCCAGTGCAATTGGAGTGGAGCCTTTATCAATCTATTAGCAAAAAACAGCAGTTGTATGGCGGTCTCTCCAAATGTAGCATAGATGAAGTGGGTGACACTCTTCATAGCAGGCAGAGCTGTGGGTCTCAGTCTCAAAGAGCAGCAAAGAGGCGGCACATACTCCGAGAAGCTTCTTTACGTCAGCAAGAGTAACAGGACAGCCCACATTACAGATTTCCCTACAGGCACTGAATGTTACAAAGCACTATATCATGCACTCACACACACGCTTTTACATTACATTGGAGACCTCATAGGATGTCCTATGCATAAACATAAACAGTTTGCATTTATTTAAAAAGTGTGCCACTAAAATAGTTCCATAATTAATTTTTGCTTCTGGATTAACTACCTAACATGTTCTGCAATAAATGCAAAACAAATCCCCCCCCCAAAACAATTACGCGCAATATAAGTAAGGGCAGATTAAACTTCTCTAAAACTTCTCCCAAACGCTACACTCCTGTTAAAAAACAGCTAAATAGTAGCAGAGAGGAACGCAATTCAAACCGGTTTGACCAGAGGGACAGAAGTCTTGGAGCACTGTGTGAAGGCGTAAGACACACACACATACACATACACGCACACGCACATACAACAAAACTGCACACACCATTTAAACGAAAATAAAACTCAAGCAACAGGTGATGTGAAATAAAACCAGTAAACAAAAAATGATTAGTCTTCCTCCTTTAACTGCTTGAACTTATCATATCTAATTTTGACCAAACAAACTGAAAGACAAACTATTTGTAAATAAAACAAGTTGTATTTAAAAGACAGGTGTCATCTCACAAATAATTTAAGATTTGCTGTATAAACCTAATATGAGCACGGCGCAAGATACAGTAGCTTTCTTATATCCACTCTTTTTAATAAACAATATAATGTCTAATAGATGGGTTCTGGACACCGAATAAAATCAGCTTGTGACAACATTAGTAATTCATTAAAGGACAAAACCTAATTTTATGTCTGTGACTGTGTTGCAGGAAGGAAGTGCACATTTTAAGATGAGTAAACAAAGAGTGCAACATGTAAATGTCACAGAGTCAGTCTTTTTTGTTAAAAGAAAAAAAGCAGACAGACGAAAGCTGGAGTTGCAATCTACTTTTCTTAATGTGAACCATGCGTTGACTAGAAAATCCAACTGGACCTTGATCCTCTGAATTTACTGAGTGTGAGTGTGTGTGTGCGTGCGCATGTGAGTTACTCGGACTTTGATTGCCAGTGTGTCTGACAAGGAGAGCAACTGCAAAATAACTGCTGCTGTGCAACGCCACAGATTTCACACACTTCTAATATTATTAAGGATAAAGAACAATGAATTTAAAGAGACAGTTCAAGCAAAAATTGTAATTTACCCACCATTTACTCACTACGAAGTGCTTTCAAGTTTTTGCGAGTTTCTTTTTCTTTCCTTTTCAGTCAAAAGATGACATTCTGAAGAAAGTTGTAAACTGGGAGCCTTTGACATCCAAAGTAAAAACAAGATATATGTGACGGAAGTATATATTAGCTGCCAGTTTCCAACATTTTTCTAAATATCTATATCTAAATATAAAGAAACTCAAAGAGGTAAACCACATGAAGGTGAGCAAATGATGCCACTACAGGATGTGATTTCAAAAATTAAGTTTAAATTGCAATGCTAAATTAAATTAGCAAAGTAAAGACTTCCACATAAAGTCAATGTCATAAAGAGTCATATAGTGACTTGTCTCTCACAATCCCCCCACTGCCATTTTCCAGTCTGTAAATTTGTTCCATGATGACCAAATACACTTATTTATCTGAAATCAGATGGCAGATGGCAAATAAAAAACATTCAATGTCTATTTGCCATGCATTCAGACACTTCCCATTTACAAATCATGTCTAACTCAACAGCCAAGTGAACATGCAACTTTTGCACACAGCCAGACTACAGCTAGACACAGCTAGACTATCATAAGGCTGTAACAATATCTTGTTTCCATTCATTTAACCTGCACAATAATTCCACACTTTCAACTTCATCAGCAGTTCAATTCAAAGTGGCTAGAAAGTGAAAGAACAGGCTGTCACATTGTATTTACTTAAAATGAAGAAGCTTTTTAATGAGTTGAAATTTGTGTAGTTAACGTACACTTAAACACGACATCATGTTTTATCTCAATTTCTTTAAAAAAAAGATCCCTGTTTCAGTGCATCTGTCTGTCTGGATCTCTGTCCCTCAGACAAGCTCTTCGGGATTTAAATTTTCAATATCAGTAAACACACAAACATCAAGAAACATGCTGAATTGGATTCAACAGTAGAGTCAGTTCGTCCACAGAGCGGTTCTGCCTCGGGTTTCGACGTGCCTCTGAACTTTCAGAAGAAGCAGCGACCGCCAGACAACAATGCAGACGAATAGCCTACATGTATGACTGTTGCCTCTGCTGTGTGCAACATCAGTGACGCCACGACACTTACATGATCTCAGTTAACCGTGAATATAAGCTGGCGCTTACCTCGTCTACTTCAGCCGGGGAAATAAACTGAAGCATCGGGATGGATCTTTGTTTTATCGTGGACAGTCCGCAGCGATGAAAGTCCCGCAGCTGACGAAAAAGGTCGCCCGCGAGTTTGTGGAGAGAGAAAAGGACAGCAGACTCTCCGCGAGCCCGGAGTCAGTCACTATGACCGACACAATCGCCTTCATAAGCGAATGACGTCGAATGGGACTGGAGCTCGACTACACGGAGCCCGAGTGAGAGCCTCGGTGAAGTCCAGCCCCTACACACGCAAGCGCTCCCTCCACGCGTCCACCCACTAACTCTCGGGCTGCGTCTCATATACTAGCCTGCTGCCTACCTAGAGCGCGCCGGGAGAGCCCTGCGTCAGTTCAGTTGACGTCTAACGCGGAGAAATTAAGTAGGCTGCTCTGGAGGTTTGAAGACACAGTCACAGTTTCTCTGTTAACACGCAGGTATTGGCTTGAAGAAATGAGACCGAGAAAAGTTGCTGTAATCTAGTCTGTCTCGCTTTTGAACCTTATAAAGACTAGCTCTTAAAATTAAGCATTTTTTGGTTAGTAAAAACGTCCTTAAACAAAAAAACAAACAAACAAACAAACAAAAAAAAAAAGGCTAAATAGCATTTTTGCAGGTAAAATTACATTTCATTTGTTACTATAGGTTTATTACAAAAAATGTATAACATGAGGATTTTAAATGTAATTGTTGCAATAATTGCTGAAGCTTTTATTACGATAGTCACAACATAACCATAATCTGCAATGAAACTATAATAACTAAAAGAAGTGCATTTTTGTGTTGCATTATTGGAGCAACAAAAATGTTCAGCTCTCAATGTATTATCTCACAAAGCATTGTTAGAAGGATAATTGATCCAAAAAAGAAATTCTGCATTAACTCATCCCCTAGTAGTTCCAAATCAGTGACTTTCTTTATTCTGTTGAACACAAAAGAAGGTTTTTTTTTTTCAGAAAAGCTGATAACCTGTAACCGTTGATATCTATAGGAAAATCTAATATGGAAGTCAATGGTTACAGGCTATCAGCTTTCTTCGAACTATCTACTTTTGTATTCAACAGAAAAAAGAAACCCATAAAGATTTGAAACAAGTAAAAGGATGAGTAAATGATGACAGAATTTTCACTTTTGGGTGAACTATCTATAAGAACTGACATGACAATGCATTATTATCGTATTATTAACTAACATTAATAAAAGCAAGGTTAATAAATGTTGTAAAACAGAATTTAAGGACTGCATTAAGAAATGTTATCAAACCAAACCTGTTGTAAAATGTCACTGGAAAATACGTCTGATCACTTGTGTAACAGGGTTGAAGTATGAGCATGAGGAATGCAGTCAACATGACGGTTTATGCTAAAAGTGAAAACAAAACAAAGACAAGATTATTTACTTGTCTTTGTGCTATGCTGTAGTCCAAATGTTATTTCACAATTTTAAGGAATGCTCAGTTTTTTGTATAAGGGGAAAACATTGTGCATAAAATGTTTCACGCATTTTTTTTATCTACGAAAAATTGCCAAACTTCTTCCCATGCTGCCTTTTTCTGTTGTCGAAAAATTATTTAACACCTCTGTATTATCCATATTGATTAATGTAATGCTATGCTGTCTGCAGATCCTAAAGCTACTCCAAACAAGTTACAATTAGTACAACATTCAGCAGCTAGAATTCAGACAAGAACCAGTGCTAGAAAGCACATAACCTCAATTTAAAAAAATTTTTGCACTGGCTTCCTGTCAGTTGTCGAATTAATATGCTGGTCACCCTGACTAAAATCTATGGTAGCATTCTCTTCATTGGCACCTAAATTATCCTATAATATTCACAATGCAGAATCCCTTAGTATTTTTAAATCATCTCCTAAAACCTACTTTTTTAGGATAGCTTTTATTTGACTTTATTGGACTTTTATATGATTTTTAGATCTATTATTGTAATTTTATGTGTTTTTTTATTTATATTATTACATTTTTTGCATTTTCCTTGTGTCTTTTACTGCTGCACATTTTATGTCTGTAAAGTGCCTTGAGATAAAAATAATTATTTATTTTTTATTAAAAATAATGTATTATTATTATTATTATTATTATTATTATTAATGAACACTATTTAAACATTACTTGACAGCACTCAGGACCAGATGTGTCATACGTTTCTTTTTTGGAACAAACAAACTGAGTGTAATCAAGTGTAATCTGCCATGCAAATAGTTATAGTTCAATACAAGATAGATTGCATGTAAAAAAAAAAAAATCAGAAAGGATGAGCAATTTATAGTGCAAAACGCATGCTTGACCCTCATTCAGAGCAGCTACTGTATGACCTTTCTGATGATGCTCTTATGGAGGCAGTGAGCTTTCAAAATGCCACCACATGGCAGGGAAAAGCACTGCATGGCTCACATACTGTATTTCTGCACATTAACAGATAAAACAATACAATTCAAATGGATAATAAACAGCAGGCAACGGCTTCACAAATCTTGTTGGCAAATTCTGGCCCACACATGCAAGATAAAATCAAATGCGTCTTTCTCTAAATGTTTAAAAGTGGCCAAATGATCGCTTTGCCAGATATAAATACACTCATCAGTTTAAACTGAACACAAGATGACATATGAGATCATAAAAGTGGCACGCTGCTTTTCAGCAATGCATCATCCCTGAATAAAACGGCACCACTGTCTGCTCTTATTTTTAGACTTGATCCACTGTATTTATGTGGCAATTAAGCATTATTTCCAAAATAAATGCGCAATCCAAAACACATAAATAAACTTTAGTGTCTCTCTAAGGGAACCGGCTAACACAGTTTGCACAGTTCAGCAGTGCAGTGTAATTTATTGCCACCGCTGCAATAACACAAGGCACAAATCCGCACGGTGTGCAGCGTTCATGTATTCACCATCATCGCCAGTGTATTTGGAAATTAGCCTTTATTTTAAGCCTGCAGCGTGTTCAGATTTAGGGAAGTCAGTTCAGGATGCTGCCCTTTGCAATGATAGAGAAAGCCTGGCATACTGTAAAAACAAAAACAACAGCGCAAAAAAAAAGAAATACTTCATTAAATATCTAAAGTCAAAACAGAGTTAACTAGAACAAAATGTCTTATTAATTAAGCTATGGAAATTATTGTCATTTTCATTAAGTTTAACCTGTTAAAATAACTAAATAACAGAAATGATAGGTAGACAGACAGACAAGTAGATAGGTACTTATTAAATAAAATAATTAATCAGTTATTACAGTTGATAAACATATGACTTAAACCATTTTACATGAAGAAAACATAAACTGAAAGGCAGTTAATTTGACTTTGTTCTAAGAACTACACTACCTGACCAAACTCTTGTCGTCGATCCCAGTTGTAAGAGCAACAAACAATAACTTCTAGTTGATCATTTGGAAAAGTGGCAAAAGGATTTTTTTCCGATGAATCATCTGTTGAACTGCATGTCAATCATCACAAATACTGCAGAAAATCCATTGGAACCCACATGGACCCAAGATTCTCACAAAAATCAGTCAAGTTTGGTGAAGGAAAAATCAGCCCAATCACCAGACATGAACATTATTGAGCATGTCTGGGGTAAGATGAAGGAGGAGGCATTAAAGATGAATATAAAAAATCTTGATGAACTCTAGAAGTCCTGCAAGAACGTTTTCTTTGCCATTCCAGATGACTTTATTAATAAGTTATTTGAGTCACTGCAGAGATGTATGGATGCAGTCCTTCAAGCTCATTGGAGTCATACACCATATTAATTCTTTTTCCACTGCAAAATGACTTTATAATTTATACTGTACACTATTTTTGTTAAATGAGAAGACTTTTGTCAAAGCAAAGTCAGACCTTTCTGTTCTAATTAAATAATTAAAAATCAAGGCATGATCATATTTTATTTTGGTAAAATAAGTGTAATCTAGAGGCTTTGCTTTTCATATAAGCCACTTCTGATACCAAATGATCAACTAGAAGTCAAGTTATTATTTGTTGTTCCTAAAACTTGGGTAGGCGACAAGATTTTTGTCACATATAGGCATTTTAAAAACAAAAAATGATAAATATCACAAAAACAGCAAACAAAAGGTTGTTGTTTTAATAATGAACACATTATCTTCACCTTATTTCATCTCACTGCTAAATTAATCAAAATAATAAAACTCATTCTTATTTTCATTTAGTTTAAACTTGATTTGCTGGATGTGGCGACTAAAACTAAAGTAAAAAATCTAAATAAATATTATTATAAGCCTCGGCTGGGACAGTTGGCGTTTCTGTGTGGAGTTTGCATGTTCTCCCTGTGTTGGCGTGGGTTTCCTCCGGGTGCTCCGGTTTCTCCCACAGTCCAAAGACATGTGCTTTAGGTGAATTGAGTAGGCTAAATTGTTCGTAGTGTATGTGTGTGAATGAGTGTGTATCGATGTTTCCCAGTGATGGGTTGCAACAGGAAGGGTATCCGCTGCGTAAGACAAATATGCTGGATAAGTTGTCGGTTCATTCCGCTGTGGCCCAGATTAATAAAGGGACTAAGCCAAAAAGAAAATGAATGAATGAATTATTAGGCATATTAATAAAATCTATTAAAACTGACAAAAAAATCAATATGATAAAATTATGTTATTTCACCTAAAAAGGAAACATTTCTACTTTTCATTTACTGTAGTTTACCTTGAAGTATGCCAAAAACGATTTCTCATTTTGGTTCAGCTTTATTTGATGTAATAAAATGACAAAAACAAAAAAAAAATCATTTAAACTTCAAATGAATAAAATCCAAAGTCAAATTAAAACAACTAAATTACACACACACACATGACAAAACTCAAATTTTAGTCTTAAAATATCATAAAATAACTAATTGAAAGTATTAATAAAATCTACTGATATATCTCAACGATACAAAAAAATCAACATTTCCTCATAAAAACACTCATGTAGTACCAACACTCCCCTGTATCTGCAACAGCAGCACAAAAACACCACTGGAGCAGATGTGCGACAGACAGTAAGCGGCGGTGTGAATCCACGTTCCTCTGCCTGTCTGCATGTTGTTATAAATGAGGAGGAGAGCGCCGAGCAGAAGGGCTTTCTAAATAAAGATTTCAGGTCAAAAACAGGAAATGGCTCAGTGAGCAGTCGAGGTGCTGCAGGAC